AAACCTTTTACAGAAGTTCACTCCAAATAGATCACAGACTTAAATGTAAAATGTAAAACTGTTAAACATTTTTTAAAAATGGAGAAAAATCTTCGGGATGTAGAGCTGGCCAAAAACACGACCCCTAAATAAGACATTATCATAATGAAAAACTTTTGCTCTGTAGTAAGATCACCTACAAACTCACAGCATAAACAGGAATAATTTGGGACAACAAAAACATAAAAGGGGGTAAAGTTCTGAATTTGCAAAGCAGGATGGAGATCAGATGCATTCAAAGAAAAAGGACTACTATATATGTGAAGCTTTCTTTTTCATAACCCTGACAGTAAAGTAACCACACACACGAAAACCCCAAACAGAGATACATAACTTTAAAAAAGAGGAAGCCGATGGAAAAAGTATGGAATACCACCGAACAAAAACAACAGACAGAAACACAAAGGAAAAGAACCAGTGGAGGTATCAGAAAACAAAAGGTAAAATGCCTATAGGAAATCCTCAGACATCAATGATTACCCTAAATGCAAATGAACTGAATTCACCAATAAGGAGGCACAGTGTAGCAGATTGGACCAAAAACTAAAACCCAACCATATGCTGTGTTCGGGAGACACATTCAGCTGCGAAGACAAAGATAGACCCACAGTGAAAGGGTGGGAAATGATTCTCCAAGAAAATAGGATCCACAGAAAAGCAGGTGTAGCCGTACTTATACCTGACAAATAGATTTCAAGATAACAAAGGTAACAAGAGGCAAAGGTGGACATTTTACAGTGGTAAAGGGGACACTACGCCAAGACACAGCACTTCTCGGTATATACGCACCCAGTCGGGGAGCACCAAATGTGCTAAAGGGAGAAACTGACAAAACCACAGTCATGGTAGGCGGCCTAAATACTCCATTGACAGCTATAGATAGGTCATTCAAATGGAAAATCAATAAAGAAATACTAGCCTTAGCCCTGGCTGCTGTGGCTCAGTGGATTGAGTGCCAGCCGGGGAACGAAAGGGTCACTGGTTTGGTTCCCAGTTGGGGCACACGCCTGAGTTGCAGGCTGGTGGGGGGTGCAGTAGGGGGCACATGAGAGGCAACCACACATTGATGTTTCTCTCCCTCTCTCCTTCCCTTTCCCTCTATCTAAAAATAAATTTTAAAAATGAAAAGACCAATGAATACAAATGCAAAAATCCTAAACAAACTAGCAAATTGAATATAAAAATGCATTTAAAAAAATCAAGTGAGGTTCATTCCAGGAGCGCAAGGGTGGTTCAGCATATACAAATCTAAAAATGTAATACACCCTGTTAACAAAACAGGTTGAAAATCATATGATCTTATTAGTAGAAGTAGAAAAAGCATTCGATAAGATATAACATCCATTTATGATTAAAATACTCAATAAAATAGGTATGAGAAGAAAGTAGTTCAACATAATAAAGGCCATATATATTAAAAACCCTCAGCTAATAACATCCTCAATAGATGAAAAACTGAAAACTTTCCTTCCAAAATCAAGAACAAGACAAGGTCGTCCACTCTCACCACTATTATTCAACATGGACCTGGAAATCCTAGCCAGAGCGATTAGGCGAAAGAAAGAAATAAAAGGCATCCAAATTAGGAATGAAGAAATAAATGTACCACTTTTTGCAGTTGATATGATTGTTTATAAAGACAACCTTGAAGACTCTACCACAAAAACTATTAGAAATAATAAACAAATACAGTAAAGTATAAAACGCAAAATCTGTGTACAAAAATCCACTGCTTTCCTATACACTAACAATGAAATTTCAGAAAAAGAAATGAAAAAAAATTCTTTTTGCAATTGCCACAAAAAGAATAAAATACCTAGGAATAACAACACAGGATGTGAAGGACCTATATACCGAAAAATACAAAGCATTATTAAAAGAGATTGAAAAAGACACAACAAAATGGAAAGATATTGTGTTTGTGGATTGGAAGAACCAACACAATTATAATGTCCATTTTACTCAAGGCAATATACAGATTTAATGCAATCCCCATCAAAACCCCAATAACAAGCCCTGGCTGGAGTAGCTGAGTGGATTGAGCGCGGGCTGCGAACCAAAGCACCGCAGGTTCGATTCCCAGTCAGGGCACATGCCTGGGAATGCCAGGTCCCCAGCAACTGCACATTGATGTTTCTCTCTCTCTCTCTTTCTCTCTCCCTTCCCTCTCTAAAAATAAATAAGTAAAATCTTTTAAAAAAATTTTTAAAAAAACAATAACATTTATTAAAGAAACAGAACAAAATATCATCAGATTTGTATAGAGCTACAAAGACTCCAAATGGCTAAAGCAATCCCAGAAAGAGAAGAAAGCTGAAAGTATCACACTATCTGACTTCAAATTAGATAACCAAGCAATGATAATCAAAAAAGCATTGTATTGGCAGAAAAGCAAACACACAGACAATGGAACAGAATTGAGAGCCCAGAAATAAAAACACACGTATATGAGCAAATAATTTTTCACAAAGGAGCAAAAAAACACAATGGAGAAGAGAAAGCCTCTTCAACAAATGGTTCTGGGAAAACTGGAGAGCCACATGCAAAAGAATGAAACTAGACCACAATTCGTCCCCACGTACAAAAATTAATTCACAGTGGGTTAAAGAGCTAATATAAGACCTGAAACAACAAATTACACTGAAGAAAACATAGTTACTAAACTTACGGGCCTTGGTCTTAGAGAAGATTCTATGAATTTGACCCCTAATGCAAGGGAAGTAAAGGCGAAAATAAATTAAGGGGATTATACCTAAAAAGCTTCTGCACAACAAAAGAAACTGACAATGAAGCAAAAAGGCAACAACCTAATGGGAGAAGATATTTGCAAACAACAGCTCTGACAAGGGCTTAATATCCAAAATATATAAAGAACACATACAATACAACAACCCCAAACAACAATCAGTGTGTCTTACATCTATACCATGGATACTAATTGGCAATAAAAAAGAACTAAGTATTTATATACACAAAAACTTAGATGAATCCCCAGGAATTATGGCAGGCTAAAATAAAAAAAAAAGCCAGTCCCAAAAGTTTATATCCTATATGAATCCATTTATATAACATTCCTCAAATGTCAAAGTCAGAGAAACGGAGAACAGATTGGGAGTTGTGGGGGAAGGGTCTGGTGATAAAAAGGCATCAGGAAGGGTCCTTCTGGTGATGGAAATGTTCTGTATCTTGACCACATCAATGTCAACGTCTGGGATATAATATTGTACTCTAATTTTGCAACATTTTACCAGGGAAACAGTAAAGGATACACAGGCTCTCACTATTGTTTTTTACAACTGAATATGAACCTACAGTGATTTCAAAATTAAAGATGAGCTATAAAAAGTGGCAAATCACTTGGTTTGGCAGTTTCTAATGACATTTAAAATAAATTTATCCTATGACCTAGCCATTCTTCTCCTGTGTAATATTCAGGAGTAATGAGTGCATTTGTCCACAAAAAGATTTGTGCAAGAATGTTCATAGTAGTTTTATTCTTAATAGCTAAAATTTGGAAATAACCCAAATGCCCATATGCAGGCGAATGGATTAAAAATATGATATATTCCCCTGGCTGGGTGGTTCAGTTGGTTGGAGCATTGTTCTGCACACCAAAATGTTGGGGTTTGATTCCTGGTCAGGTCACATACCTTGGTTGCGGGTTTGATCCCCAGTTAGGGTGTGTACAGGAAGCAACCGATCAATGTCTCTCAATGTCTCTCTCTCTCTCTCTCTCTCTCTCTCTCTCTCTCTCTCTCTCTCTCAAAAATACCTTATTGTACTATACTCAGCTGTCTTCTTGTGATGCTGTGAGATGAGGCAGTGCCTCCATGATGAGATGCAGTGGGCTGACATAGGCATTGTGATGTACCATTAGGCTGCTATTAGAGTTACTTGAGGCCCTGGCTGGTGTAGCTCAGTGGATTGAGCTCAGACTGTGAACCAAAGGGTCACCGGTTCAATTCCCAGTCAGGGCACGTGCCTGGGTTACGGGCCAGGTCCCCAGTGGGGGCATATGAGAGGCAACCATACACTGATGTTTCTTTCCCTCTCTGCCACCCTTTCTAAGAATAAATAAATAAAATTTTAAAAAAGAGTTACTTGAACATACAACACTGTGATACCAGTGTGTCTACAGTCACACTGACCAAGAAGACAGCTACTAAGTGACTAGGAGGTCAGCAACATATACGGCATGGATATGGTGGACAGAGGGAGGGTCCAGGTTCAGGGTCAGACAGCAGGACAGCACAAGATTTCATCACGCTACTCAGAATGGCACACCATTTAAAACTTATGAGTTGTTTATTTCTGGAATTTTTATCGAATATTTTTGGAGCATGGTTGACTGTGGGTAACAGAAACCATACAAAGTGAAACCACAGATAAGGAGGGACTACTTGCTCGCAAAATATGGATGAATCTCACAACCATTGTGGTAAGCAATGGGAATCAGAAACAAAAGAATACATAGTGCATGGTTACATTTATATGAAGTTAAGAACAGGCAAACTCATCAATGGTGATAGAAGACAGACTTCTGTTTACTAGTGATGGGGGGATGGATCAGTTGGAAAGGAACTTGAGGGAAACCTCTGGAGTGAAGGAAATGTGGTTATACAGATATACACACAAAGTTAAAAGTTACTGAGCTCTGTACTTAAGGTTCATACATTTACTCCATATTAATTATACTCTAATAAAAAGAATTCCCATTCATGGGGGAAAAAGCCGTATCAACCCACCCCACTGTATAGACTTTATTTGGATCACCCAATACTCAGTGGACACCAAGTGTGTAGATAACTTACATGTGAATTCTTTCAGTCAAAATGTGTCCATACACATTCTGCGTATAATGCCTATAGATTGTATCTCCATAAATTGTCCATCCATTGTAACAAACTGAGGCAATGTGATTTACTTTCTCAACTTTAATGTGCTCTCTTGTTTTCTCTGAGGACCTGATGTTATTTTATGAGGACGATCCAAAGCCGCCTTTGCTGACAGTCCCTCCAGCCACTGCGTCGTCAACAACGTGGCTGTCAGAAGGGCAAGCAGAAGTGTGTAACCTCTGGGACACGGGTAAGTCGGTTAGAGAGTAGGCAGTTCGCTCAGAAACGTGGATAAAGAGACACCGGGCAGGAATTTTTTTTTTCATCTGGTTTTATTCTGTATAATATAGCAACAATGGCTTTAATTTAACTTCGATAACAAGGGACAGGACTAGCATGAGCAAATGCCTCCCACATGCCATTCTATAATCTGATTTTATCATTTGTTTCCATATGTTTTTTCTCTTTTTTCCTTCTTTTGTTTAAAAAATTATTGGCTACAAACCTTAAAGCTTTTACAAATGGTTAAGAGCAGAAAAATTAATTTTAGTCCCTTTTCTCATTTCTATTAACTTCTCTTTGCTAAAGAGTTTACATTATGACATTTTTCAGAAGCAAGCATTGGATGAAAAAGCCAGATGCATGGCGTCCCACAAATTGGTTAAGCGCCTCTTGCATAGTTAACGTAGGAGAAAGACATGGTATAAAACTGTACAAAACCGGCCTCCAGGCAGTCACACTGTGAAATCCCAGCTGGGCCCTACTGCTGCTGCAGATCTGACTGAGTCACTGTTGAGCCGCTCTGTCCTCCATGAACTCGTGATTTTCAGTACATTCTTCCTCTCGGACGTCTCAGAAAACAGGGTGAAAGGTCTGCCAAGAGGAGAAGGAACTTCTTCATTAATGCTTTTCACCCCCCAACGCATGTCCACTCTTACACTCGCCCCGGTGTCTGTCCCCATGTCATGGAGGTGGCTCCTCCCGTTCTGGGCTCCCCCCTCTCACCGTCGGACCACGTGCCTCCTTTCCCCCGTAAGTAGATCCCCAACATCCAACATATAAAAACTGCCACTTATTAGTAGATTTATTTTACAGGTTCACGTTTATACAGTTTTCTTATTAAACGAGTCGTGAGAATGATGAGGCTATTGTAACAGACACAAAAACAGGAGGCTGCCGGTCATGGTGATACTTGCGGCACAAGGTATGGCGGTATTCACACGGGTGATTCGTTATGAGTGGTCACAGTTTTGCAGACAGCTTGCTGTGTACCCTTAGAATACACTTGATGTAAACTGCACCAGATCCAGAACCTTGACACAAGAGCCCTAAGGACACATATTTGCATTCTAATAACCCCACCCCGCACATTTCCCTCACCCCAACATTTTTTTAATAGACTTTATTTTTTAAGAGCAGTTTTAGGCCCACAGCAACACTGAGCAGAAGGTACAGAGATTTCCCCCACACACACGCTGCCTCCAAAGGAGCACAGCTCCCCCCTCCACTACAAACACACCACATGGGGGTGGGGCCTGCGCTGCAGTCCGTGAGCCTACAGCCCTGCCTTAATGCTTCATTGTCCCCCGGAGCCCATAGTTTACATTCGGGTTCACTCTTGGTGTTGCATATTCTCTGGGTTTGACAAGCGTGTGGCAACATGTATCCACCATTGTGGTATCACGTAGAGAAGTTTGGCCGTAAAGATCCTCTTCTCCCTCCCCTTCCACCGCCCCTCCCCCAGCAACCACTGATGTTTTTAACTGTCTCTGTACTTCTGTCTTTTCCAGAAAGTCATCTAGTTGCCATCCTACAGTGTGTAGGCTTTTCAGATTGTCTTCTTTCACTGATGTGTTGGGTTTCCTTCGTGTCTTTTTGTGGCTTGATAGCCCCTTTCTTTTTAGCGGTGAGTAGGATTTACTAGGGGCTTATCCATCTACCTACTGGAGACCATCATGGTTGTGTCCAAGTTTCGGCAATTAAAGATAAAGCTGCTATACATATCCACGTGCAGGTTGTGTGGCCGTGTTTCCCTTTGCCGGCATTTTAGTGCAAGTGAAATCGAGTATAAATGGGCATCAGAGGCAGTCCTTAAGAGGAAAAAACGTCACAAAACGTGTCGCACAAGGGATGGTTCCACCATTTTTCTTGGGTAGGGCTCATTTTCATCGGAGAAGCTTTTCCTACTTCTAAGTTGGTCTTTTCTCGAATCTTTCCTTTACACCGATCTCAGAGAGCGCTTTCTAAAATGCAGACCTTAGCGTTTCACTTCTCACCTTAAAAACTCTCAGCGGTTCTCCCCTGCCAATAGGATGTTTATTGTGCTTGCCACGCAAGACTTTCCACAGTCTGGTCCCAGGCAGCCCTCTGGCCCCCTGGCCCAGTAACTGGCAACACTCACAGCGCTCTGTGGCTTCCTGCCAGGCGCGCAGCGCAGTTGCTGCTTCTCAGAATGTCTCGGTATCAGTTCCTCCAGTTGTGTAACACATCGCTCTGAAACTCCGAGGTGTAAAATAATCACTTATTCTGCTCATAGACTCTCGGGGTCAGGAATCAGGACAGGGCACAGTGCGGATGACTTATCTCTGCTCCGCGACACGCGCGTTTGGGCCCCAGCCTGCGGCCGCAAAGGCTGGGGACTGCGTTCAGCACCCGCGGCCCAGTCCCTCCTGGATCTGGGAGTGGAGGCGCACCGTTGGCCTGGGGCCTCGGCTTCTCGCCGCGTGGGCCGGTGTGGGTTTTCTCACAGCACACCGCACGGTGGCTGCGTCCCAAGGGTGGGCGAGCATCCTGTGAAAAAAAAAAAAGGACCAGGCAGAAGCTGAATAATCTGGAAAGTCATGCTGTGATACTCCCCCGCGCACGCGCCCGGTTCATCGAGGCCATTACAAAGGTTCCCGCCAGTTCAGGGGGAGGGGACGCAGACTCCCACCCCTTCACCTGCGGGAGTGGCGGGATCGCGTAGGAAGAAAAGCATGTGGGACGGGATGTGTGTGTGTGGACTCGCCTTTGACAAGCACGGCCTGCCGCCGCCCACCCCCACAGTAGGGGGGCGCGACAGTGTCCGGTCCAGCCGGCAAGGCCCAGCTCGAACCTCCCGGCTGCTGCGGAGTCTCTGCACACGGATTCTCTCCTTTTGCTGGGCTCCCACGGGACTCTGTCCCTACCCCTAGTGTGGCATTCGTGGCTTTGTATCATCATTATCGTGTAAGTTTTATTTATTTCTAATTCACATAAGTAATAAGTGAGCATACTGATATTAAAAAACTCAAACAATATAGAGTTAAAATCCCCCCTCCACTGTTCCATACCTTTGACACAGGCCCCAGAGTTAACTTTTATATTAGCTTCTCAGTTACTCCAGACTTTTCTGTGTGTATTTGTGTACGTACATGTATCTTTAGAAGTATGTAGGAATGACTTTATGTTCTTTTAGAACATTTTTCTGTATTTTTTATGAGACTTTTTTAATAATATCACTAAACAGTCCTTCAGTGTACATCAATATTTAGAGATTTACCATAGTTTTTTTAACCGTTGCATTGCCTGGATATTCTAGTTTATTTCCCTGCTGATAAACACGTTGGTGGTTTATATTTTTCACTATTACAAATAATGTTTCAGTGAGTATCTTTGTGCACATACGTGCGTGTTTCTTAAGGGTAGATTCTTAGAAATGGAACCCCTGGGTCAGAATGGATGCCCGTTCTCATTTTAATTAGTATCAGTACCAGCTTGTACTGGCTTGCACGGGAGTACACGAGAGGACTACTCACACTTACCAGCAACACCTGATATTTTTCAAGTTTTAACTTTTCATTTCTTAGATAAAGGTTACACTGCATAGTAGGTACAATATGCACTTTTTCCAGGCGTTCATTTCTATTTCCTCTTCTGTGGGTTGCCTGTTTATGTCACTAACCTGGTTTTCCTTTGGACTGTGTGTTGTTTATTTAAGTTGATTTTGTAGCATTTTTGTATAGGTGTGACTGACCCTTTTTGTTATTTATGTTGCAAATATCATCTTAACAGTCCGTCTTTAAACTTCCTTTATAGAAAGTTTTTTTGTTTTGTTTTTTGGTGTCTTTATAGAAGTTTTGTGTTTCATATAGTCATATTTTTTCATATAATCATATTTATTCCTCATTTTCTTCTGAAGATTGGCATCTCATGTGTTTTTAAGAAGTCCTCTTCTACACCCGGCTCGTAGTGCACAGTCACCCATATGTTCGAGTTCTTTAACGCTTCTGGACTTAAAGCATTTGTGGATGCTTTTAGAGAGGGCAGTGGGCATCCAGTTGTTCCGAAGACATTCCTTGACTGGTTCATTCTTCTCTTCTGTTTTTAAGTGAGTCTTTAAGCCGTGCCAAGCGGTGTCTGTTTAACAACTCTGTCCTGTCCCATTGATCCATTTTTCTATTCCTGGCCTATTTAATTTTTTGTAGCTATTATAATAACATGCCATAGTATAAGTGTATCCTGTTTTATTTAACCAGTATTAGGTTGATGGTTACTGGAGTTATTTCCAGGTTTTTACCATATAGATAATGATAAAATGACAGCTTTCTTCTCTCGCAAATTAAGTAGGCTTTTTATTTATATGTTTCCACAATTTGAAGCAGATTCTAAAATAAATCACTCTGAATTTCTTTGGGTAAATTCTGTCCATCTCACTAACTTAGCCTGTCAACAGATGGTTCTAATTTCCATGTGATAATTTTGGCAACTTCAGCCCAAGGCAAAAATAAAGTAGGAAAGTCACATGGGCACAGCACCCTCAGCCCTCCTCTCCCACCTGCCTCCCCCCTGCTCAGAGTCACGGGGGGTCGGGGGTCGGGGGTCGCTGCTCACACGCTGGCCTGCGCTGGGGAGCACTCGCACCCTCCCCAGCACTCGACCTTTGCACCCCTGTCCCCCCTCCTTCCCTCCCCCTCCTGAGTGACAACGCTCCTGAATTTTGTGCTCAGCTTTTCTTTATGGTTTCACTACATATGTTTATGCTCTGAACAATACATTACGTGTTCACTTGACAGGCTTTTAAACTTTTTCTAAACAGAGTCCTTTGGAATTTATTTTTCTGCGATCTCTTAATCGCTCAGTAACACATTCTTAAGGTTCCTCTGCGTGTACATGGTTGTCAGTTGTTTTCACAGCTGTAGAGTACAATATCTCCTTGTGTACCTATATTAGAATATATTTGTGCATTCTACACTAGAACACTGCCCCCAGCGCGGTGTCTCAAGGGTTTTG